TGCTAAAATTTACGTTTTACATTTTAATTTAAATTTGGTAGTTGCATGTTGAGGAAAATGTATAAAAATAACTTGTTTTGTTTTTTAATGTATGCAACAGCATTTGTTTTGCAGTATTTGTTTTGTTAATACATTCAGAGGGAGTGTGGCCTTATAAAAAAACAGCCCCGTTTGAAATAAAATAAATGGTTTCAAAAGTTATGGTGTGATATATTTACCAACTTATCTACTTGTCAGAGTTTGCACTACCTTTTTATTGTCAAACATAATATTTACCCATCAATTTTTGCATGATAATTGCATTTCATTTTCATTCTGTTTAATATTCAACAAGTTGAACAGATAATCCACCCTAACCCCGCTACTTGGTATCAGTATTGGCGAGTACCTAAACTGAAGTACTCGTACTTGTACTCAGTCTTGAAAAAACTGGTATCGGGACACCCCTAGTTTTGGACGTCCTTCGTCGCGGCGCTGTGACGTATGCGGCCGACGAATTCGGCCTTCGGAGGACCCGGCCTGTTGTTTTGGACACAGCCATTATTTTGCTTGTGTTTGTATGTTTCCCTGCGATCAGATCAACTTTTAGAGTCGACTACATTTGCAGTAAATCCAAACTTCGATGCAACAAAAGCAGGAAAATGAAACTAACAGCGAGTGTCTTAAGGTGACGGAGGCTCACAGACCTGGATGCAGCCGGTCCCTCGTGTACCAGATAGCGATGCCGTCGCCGTTGAGGTTCTTCTTCCCCGACCCGTGAACTTTAAACTGCACGTGCATCTCCCAGTCCTTCAGGTAACAAGGCTGCAGGGTCACAACGTGTGAGTGTCAACAACAAAACTGATCATGTTTAATCAATGTTGTGATGTCAGCTCCACACGGTGACATAAACTCTTCTCACCACAGTGTTCCAGATGGACCCCTCCTTGCTCCTCTCATCCGGAGTGAGTCGGACGTAAGAGCTGGTCACCAACGTGCTCCCCCCAAAGTCCCACTGACTGCCAACACCTGCAACACAAACAGAACAAACACGAGTCAGACACACCTGAGGGGTGCGCTACACAACAAGTTCAACAGGTCCAGGGTAGCTTCAGGAGGTCATCGGGCTTCACTGACCATTAAAGGGATTGTTTTAAAAGGCGTGTTGAAATGGACACGTTCGCTCTAGTTTCATGACGACAACTTCACAACGTGTCGCTACAGAATCGTCGCACAAAAAGTAAAAGAAGTCCAGTTTTTATCCTTGTAACGACTTTTTACTAAAGAAATTCATGATAAATTCCAGCTCCTGTGTTTTCTGTGACTCCTGCAGAGCAGCTCTTCTTTCACTGCAATATTTTTAACGGTTACGTAATCTAGTCCACCTCTAAGCTTTGATAGAACCTAAATGAGTCTTCTAACAGTAGGGGTGTAAGAAAATATCAATACACTGAAATATCGCGGTATTTCATTTCCTGATACTGTATCGATATTCTAAAGCCC